TTTCTTGAAATTTGTGTAGGACATATTTATCTAGTTAACAAAAATATAAGAAAAGAAAATTACTGTAATATATGTGAGTTGTGAGCATTTCAAATCTGAGAACTGTATGTCTAATGCTTATTTTACCCTCTGCTTTAAGGTGTTCCAGCACATTATTTAAAGGGCCATAACTCTGTTAAGGGATCATCAATTTCAATGAAACTTCATCGACCACTTTGTATAAACCAAAGACACCAGCATGTCAAATTTCAGCAAAATCAGACAAGGTTTGTGTCCTTATCAATAACATCTGCACATCAAATATACAGACTAAGTTAAATATCTGCACTTCCAAATGGTTCCATGTAGATTCCAAATTGAGTTAAGATTTTTCCAAATTAAACTTTTCCGAATGACATGGAAGTACTTGGAATTCCGAATGCTTCCAAATACTTAATTCCAAGTAATTCCAGGTTACTTCCGAATGAAACTCGACGGGGAGTTGGAACTTCTACACACGGGGACTATCAGCTGATTTAATAATGAACGACTTTTTCATAGTAACTTCAATCATTAAGCGCTAATCATTAAACAAACAAGAGACGACGCGGTGAATATCCTATAAAGTCTCAAGCGCGTGTCATATGGGGTGGTGACTATGAGGAGTTAATTACGAGAAGGTATAATTGGGAGAAGAATTATGTTAATGTTTTTTGGGATTGATTTCAATTGAAAAAAATTAAAATACGAGTTTTTAAACATTGTAATATTATAATAAGCAATAAAGTCAAAAAATAAATAGACCTAAATATTAAACCAATTTAAACAAACAAAAAAAATTAATCTTATTCCTTGTGCCGAGCTGTCTTCGGTATGGGCCGAGGTGTCAATGATTTATTTTTGAGCCGACCTGTTAGGGCCGAGGTGTCAACCGACACGGGCCGAGGTGTCGGTGGGCCGAGCAGTCTGTCTACCCCTCCGAGGAATCGCTAGCGCATGCGCGCTCAGCGCTTAAAAAATGCAGAGGGAAGATTTAATGAATGACTATCCAGCAAGTAGATATTGTTCTCATTCAAGTTCGAATGGAGACGATGGATGCTCCGACGAAAATGCCTTTCCATGTAACACGAGTTCTTGGACTAGTGATTTTGTAGATAAACTGGGCATTAGAAAGGTATTGACAAACCCATTTGAACTGGTACGCACAGAGTGGTCATTATGTCAAATGTCATCCGCTGAATTAACTAGAATTGATGAACTTGCTAAAATGTGCAGTTTCATGCCTCGTGCTGATTGCTATTCATTGGAGGAGATACCGTATGAAGAAACCAAATGTTACAAACAGTGGGTAAAGGAGTGGTTTCCAACAATTACAGTCAAAGAGTTCAAGTTGTAAGTTGATAATACATTTTACGGTGTTTACCATTGGGCAAGCACAGTTTTACATAGCTGCAGATCTTAAGCCTTATGGTTTTATATACATTTGTCTTTGACCATAATGCTACAGATCCCGTACGTAGTGCTAAAAAGGTGCAATTTATGGCGCAATATTTTTTGCACTCTTTGGGAGAGAATTTCTCCACTTTCTAGCATTGGTCAATCAACTACCTTTCAACTCCTATTTCTACACACATTTTGTAGCCAATATATATAGTTTATTCTCTTCCCAACCATTTACAGTTGTCTCTACAGGCAATAAACTTGCTTGAAGTGAATTTTCAGTTATTAGAATTATTTGTTAGATAATATGTTCTACGGTGCGACCGTTGGGGCGAGCGCAGTTAACCTTTGCACTGTTTTTTTTATTTCCAAGGAATCGGGATCGAGATTCCGAACTTTTCGGAAGTTTCCGACAAAATCGGAAATACCCGAGCCTTTAAGTGATGAAAGTATGACGTCAAATAAAAAGTCATGTAGACTTAGAACGCAACCGACAGTTTTGTGGCAAGGATATTGCATAAAAACGTTGTTTGTAATTTTTTTTCAAGTAAGTTGTTGCTATGTTTCAGCCACCAGGTTGCTATGCACAAAGGATCACTGGGATTGAAGAATGTTTTCACGTGGAGTTATAAAAATTTCTTGGAACAATGTGCAGATTTCAACCCGAATTTCCTCCGTTCGTACACGTTAGTGTATTGAGCTCGCTACGCGAGCGGCGCGAAGCTGCGCTCGCTATTATCTAACAAATAATTTTAATCAAGCGAGTTTATCATTTGTATAGACGAATATAAAGGGCTAAGAGATGGATGATTAGTTAAATTATGTGTCTAGAATTAGGAGTTGAAAGGTAGTTGATTATTGGATGCTGGAAAGTGGAGAAATTCTCCCCAAAACAGCGCAAAAACTTTTGCGCCGTAAATTGCACTTTTTTTGCACTACCAGATCTGTAGCGTTATGGTCAAAGACAAATACCGGTATATAAAATCATAATGCTACAGATCTGCAGCTAAGTTTTACAGAATACCTTCAGAAATACATCTGAAACGGTGATTCTCATATCCGCCACTTCAAACGTCAAGTCGCACAGAGTACTACTAAACAGAGTACGCTAGAGTACTTTAGAGTACGCTAGAAAAATTATGCTATTTAATGTAATAAATTGTTTTTTTTCATTTGTACAACATAATTAAAAAAACTATTATAAACTTATGTTGCAATATTTGTTTCAAATATTTTTTTTAGCGATATTTTGACTAGAAAATAACCTGCATAATCCAGCACATTAAAGATTACTAATACCCCAATCTCGATTACTATTTTGTTTCATACTTACTTACTAAAGACTTACATCTAAATTTTATCAAATATTAGATTAATTGCATCAGTGTAAATATTTTACACACTCACAATGAAACATTTCAACAAGTTTAAGTGAAATTAGATCGGGATCAAACTATAAACCGAAACCTGAAATAAATAATTAAAATAACTCCTGAAATAAAGAAAACATACAAATTTTATTTTAAATATATATTCAATATGTTAAACTAAAGAAGAAAACATAGTGTAATTGCCTAAAATTATAAAATATTACCAGCGTACTCTAAAGTACTCTATGGTGTTAGCGTACTCTGTTTTGTAGAACCGAGAAGCACAAGGCATCTTGACTGTGACGTTATATGAGAGCTTGTCAGGGTTTACGGAAACAGCCGAGTGCGAAGTTGAAACCATAGACCTTGTGCAATATTTTTGTTGAAAGACAAGCAGAGTTAATTTTTGTTTCTTCAAAGAGTTATGCACACTGAAGGCCTTTGATGCCTTACATTATTATCTATTTATTTATTCGTGCAAAGGTTATTGGGTAGCAAAGGAAATCTGGGACGGTTTCAACAGAAAAATATGCTTGATGTATGTACAGATTTAATCCAATTTCCTCTATTCTTACATGATAGTCTATTGAGCTTGCTTAGCGAGTGTCACATCTTCCCTTTCAATAATAGTGAGTGCACGGAGCATCATGAAGTTGAAGTAAAAGAGCCGTATCACAATAATAAGTTCTCGCAAAAATAAGAAATCTACAGTTTACCCTAAGTATCGGGTTATTTATTAGAATGTTGATAAAAAGTAAAGAATTGGAAATCATTAACAATCAGTAATTTGCAATGAAAAAAGTTCAACTAAATTGACACTTATCCCACTCAATTTGTTTTTATATTTTAGGTTCAGTAGAAACTATGAAGAGTTTGCATATTTTCTGTTTGATACCATGCAGCAAATACATCAAAGACAGTTGCCACATGAAGTTGCTTATCAAGTTCTCTTTGAAAAAATTCTGAATTTGTTTGAATTTAAAGTCAAGTAAGTATACATACAGGAAGCTGATGAAAGCTTGTCAAATTTTTGATGACTTTGTTGTGCATATTCAACCCATGTTTTCTAAATTTTATGCTTTCTATGCAGCCATATTCAAGGTTTGTTTAGTTTTAAATTGTATAAAATGCAGATAAATAAACAAATCTGTCCAATATTATTGCATGACAATTCCACTAAAATTGTTAGAGTTTTGAAGAGACAAAATACGTACATGGTAAAATAGTCTTTGGCTGTTAGAGTGGTAGAATATAATGCACTAAGAAAACTCAGCAATATTCAATATTGAACCGAATGAGCATAAGAATATGTAATGATTTCAGAAAGGTGTATACGAATGTATTTTTTCCTAAAACTTTTAAATCTGTTAATTTTCATTTATTTTCCATCCCTGTACAAGATGTTCTGCCCGGAATATAGGGGGAATTGAGGCGTACTTGAAGAGGGAATTCCAGGCTTCAGTTTGTCTCTCTATATCATGACTTTTAGGGCCTTGCAAGGTTTAGGTAACAGAGACTTCTGTGGCATTTCACCAATGACCAGTTGTGTATATATATGGTGATACACAGGTTCCAGGTTTAAACCAAGCGGAAACCAAGAGGAAATGGGTAGGAATTTGAGGCGAAAATTGCAAATGAGCCAATCCAGGAAAAATAAATGATGACCAGAAAAAAAATTGTGCCTAGAAACTAAAATGACGCCTGGAATAGAATTACGCCTGGAATGTCCTTATGTGACCAAAAAACCTATATATTTACCATGTTAACAAAGAAAAAAATTTAGATTATGATTTACAATGTTAAAGCTAAAAATTTAGCTTTTTGAATTGTAAGAAAACATAATGACAGGTCATTAACATAGTATAGATATATAACATAAATTTTGTGTAAGGGACACTAAAACACCTTCATGATTAAGTGTTTATTTAGAATTCAATTTTTTACAATAGCGGTAGTAACATTTTATCATTTCAGTAATCATAATGGAACAATTTTTAGTTACTCAATACAGTTCTTTATTTACTTAGCATGCTTAGTAGTTCACAGTTCGAGACTCACTGCAGCCTTTATCAGACGTTATTTCTCAGAATGTGTGCAAGGAAACTCAAATATCTAAAGTAATTTTAGGGTCAACAAGTTATAACTACATCATTGTACATTATCATGATTATCCTAATCAAATTTACTCAAATAGGTACCAGATATTAATGATAACACCTACAAGCAGATACTGTGTCATCCAGAATAAGTGTAAAAGCCTTAACATTTCCTGTTTTACTCACACTAATCTCCCTCCTTCATGATCCAGTTGTATCTGAAATGACCTATTATTGATAGTTAAATTGACCAATCAGAGGCTTTTACTTCTCCTGCAAGTTGTAGGCTTAATTTTTATGCCCCCGGATCGAAAGAACGGGGGTATATTGTTTTTGTCCTGTCTGTCTGTTTGTTTGTTTGTTTGTTTGTTTGTTTGTCCCACAACTTTAACCTAGCCCATAACTATTGAGTGGTTGGGGCTATGGCTTTCATAATTCATCAGTGTGTTACTTGTGACATGACCTTTCTTTGGGTACCACCAAATTTGACCTCTTGACCTTGACCTTGGAGTTTGACCTACTTTTATTCTATTTGTTATCAACTTTAACCTTCGCCATAACTTTTGAACAGATCGAGATAGAGACTTCATATTTAAAATGCATACTCCACTAAATAAGCACTTTCAACGGATACCAAGGACAATGACCTTTTGACCTTGACTGTGACCTATATGCTAAAAATAGATTTTTTGAACTTTCGGTATAACTTTTGAACCATAGGAGATAGAGACTTTATATTTGGTATGCCTATTTCATTAATTAAGTGCTTTCAAACGACACCAAGGTCAATGACCTTGTGACCTTGACTGTAACCTTTATGCTAAGATTAGCATTTTCGAACTTTGTTGCCGCCGGGGGCACAGTGTTTCACAAACACATCTTATTTATTCTATTTTCCTGCCATTTAACACCTGTAAAATCTGAACTTGCAAATAGACGCCCGGAAAGTAGAAATGATGCCTGTAAGACGTCTCTTTTACTAAGGCGTAACTTTTCGAAAATTCCGTCTTCGCCTCAAGTACGCTTGGAATTTGCCAATTCCTGCTCAATTCCACCAATATTCCAGGCGGAATCTGCCTTTAAAATTCATACAGGTTGTAACGTGTACTTTAAAGGATTAGTAATAAGTATTTTTTATTTTAAAATTTATTTATTTATTGCAAAATGATGTGTATGCTAATTATGAATTGTAAACCATGGATTGTTCCCAATTGATTCCCACGTCTATTTTTTTTTTGCTTGGGTAATGCTTATGGGACACAGTTTTTTTTGTCTTAAATATTGTAAATAAAAATTTGTATTGTAGGGCGTATTCAAATATACCAAAGGGCCATGCCACAATTTTTGGACAAGAAATAATATCCTCTAGAGCTGATTTTCTTTGCACGAAATGTGATGATCCAAGTAAAATACTAAGCGTTTGCAAGGTAAGGTTGAAAAATTAAGTCATATATTCATATATATGAATATCATGATCTATTCACTGTAATAGATTAATTATGATAGAGCAGGAGATTTTAGCTCATTTGAGCTAAAGGCGAATGTCAAAGGAAATATTTTCTGATCAATTTATCCAATACCTGTCGTCATCATCATCATCAACCTCATCTTCAACATCATCATCAACATCATCAACATTGTCAACATCCTATAGCACTTTTCAATTTTTTATGTTTGTTTTCCTATGGATCCACTTTGCCAATTTTAGGGTTGAAAAATATAATATACTCAGGTGAACATTAATTTCCTTGGGCCTCTTGTTTTGTTAATTTCCTGGAGGCTATATACTTAACTTTTTGCAATGATCTAATTGACATCATTGTTCTGATTAGTTAACTAATAGTAGTTTGATGAAATTAGTAAAATAAGTATGTTTTCAGAGAATAAATGAAACACTTATTTTTTCATTTATTTTTTTAAATCTTAACAAAAAAAACTAATCTTATTAAAACATTTTCTGTTTGTATACACTTTAATGAAACATGATAAAAAAGGAAATTTTCTTCTTATTTTTATTCAAGTTTATTGGACCTGAAGAAGACACAGATTTTTCACCAGTAAGGAAAAAATTACGCACCACATCACCAACATTAGAAACTGTCAATGAGGAGGCAAGTTCCAGTACAGGCTCAGCCCATGGGCCATCATCTAATGCCTGTTATGTTGGAGATCTGCTGGCCTATTTGGAAAATTCGGTCATCTGTCAAGGCGTTCTTGGAATGGTCATTCAGAAGACAAAAGTAAGTGAAAACTTTCAGTAACATTTAATCTGATCCATTAAGACCGCGGAACATTAACTTTCAAAATTGGAAATATACAGCTTATAACATTTCTATCTGTTACAATCAAAACATTCAGTGATAGACAATAAAATGGGCGGGTACAATTCGACGCGGACGTGGGGAAAACATCGGATTGAAATTGCAGATCGAAAATTCATTTTCAATCCACCTCTGAGCTCTACGCTAAAAGGCATAGTGTTACTGACTAACCCAGAAGACAAATAATTTCAATTTTGGTACAGTTTGATTTTTTTTGGTCCAGTGTTTTAAATAAATATTAAGCGACAAATATTTCATTTCATTTCTGTTTGGTAAATATATGATTGTGTTGGGGGGTGGGCAATTTTTAAATATAGGCACTGATCAAATATATTAAGAATAGCATGAAAAGTTTATTTAAAAACTGTTTACCCCCCCCCCCCACCCACACACACACCCTCACAAATATATATTTCACTACATACGATCTCGTTGCGAGCAATGAGTGGTCTTCCGTCCGATTCAGGAAAAAAAAAAATCGTAAAATAGAGGTGAAAAGTGATTTAAAATTTTTGTCAAAAGGAGGATTAAACCAAGGATGCCAACGTGAATGTATTTTTTTCTCTTTTATCCCTAACGCGCAAACCATTAAGCTATTGGGAATACTGCTCTGAATATACTTGTTTATACTTTTGCAACAGTACACCTATCTATGAATCATAAAAGTCTGGCCAATATTCATAAATTCGCGCCAAACGCCATGAGTAAATATTTGCGCCTTTTCTTTGGATTGTTCTATTAAATAGGTGTGATATAATCAATGAAGTTAAATAAAATGTTATTATCGCCTTTACTTTATTTCGATGTTAGGAAAGTATATTTAACACATTGTACACATTACACATAGTATCTAGCCCAGTTACACTAAAGCAGTGAAACGGAAATTAAGTTTAATATTGACACTGAATTGCAACATACTACTACGTTAAAGTCCAAGTCGTTTTTTACATTTCATATATCCTTATGTCGGAATCGTTTAATCAAACGCTCAGCTGACTCCATTAACCCCTACTCGCGAAATGGCGGAGTTGACAGAAACAGCCGCCATCTTTAGCCCGCTTCAGATTTTCAAATATTAATATCTAGAGTTCAGATTAAACAATTTTCAAACAAATTATATAGTGAGCATCTATTGAAGGGTCTCTATTAATGTTCCAAAAATAAATAAAAAATATTGGAAAACAAAAACGTTAGAAAATACGCTTTTTTTCAATTCTCATCTCCTAAGGACAGGAAGTATTGACGACGAACGAAAGGTCGCGTCCTGGTTAGTGTCTATCACGATCTATAATCCCTGAAAGTTTCATATTGATATCTCTTACCGTTTTTGAATTTTATCGCGGACAATATGTCATTTTAAAATCAGGAAATGTCCCGTAACTTGGCACCGGAAGTGAATCTCCAAAAAATCTCTCGGATAAAATAACTTCAGATAATAACACATTGTTTCTGTAAATTTCATGAAAATCCACCCAGTATTCTTCGAGAAATCGCGTGCACAAAATTAGATGGTCAGAAAAATATAAATAAGGCTATCTAAATTTAATTCCTTGGTTCTCAGGCCAATTTTCTCCAGAACAGATGCGGGAGGGCGGCATTTTATTTTTCATTTTATTGGCAATAAAGTAGATGAGGGAGGTATTTTTTTTATTTTAATTTCCGAATTTTCTTTAACATAAAGATAATTTTTTTAATCACAGATATACTTTCCATTTCTGGTCAAAATTTCTGCCTTATCCATTGCTTAACAGCGTGTAAACATCGTAGGTAATGTCCTCGAATGTACAGCTCAACAAACTTTTTAAGCTCACATGGTTTTTCGCACAAATTAAGGTCACATTGTAATGATAAAATATTGAATAAAAAATACATCTTAAAAGTATTTGTTTACATAATTTGAGTTTTATTTCATTTACTGAAACATAAGTCATACAAATCAATCGGTAGAACTTTGATATATTCATGGCTGAAAACTAACAACTATTCTCATTTGAATTTTTGTAGTTTCTTGCCAATTGTAACTATCTTTTTATGTATTCTTTTGAAAGTAATAACTCTTGGCAGAAATGTAGACATGGATACAGAACAGCTACTGTAACGTGTATTTTCTTACATTTTGACTCTTTAACTCGGGGTGGTAATAGTATTTTTCATCTGTTTGATTGCTTTCTATGTTAATAAGGTGGGGGTTTTAAGGAGTCAACTTCTAAAATCTAGAATCATGAAAAAATCATCCCACTGCAAAATTTTAACGTTTCAAACCGTAAATGCAGAAGAATTTTCCTTTTCATAGAATGAATTTACTATTCAAAAAAAAAAACCCAAAATAAACAATACTTCATTATCCTACCCTTTAGTGTTGTTTCCTTTTGCAATATTATCCCTTTTCGGAGCTACAAATCGACGAAACCAAGAGGAGTATGGTAAATGGGCGAAGGATTTTTAAAAATACTCACCTTTAAGAAGAAAATTTAAAAATTTCAACTACATGGGATCAAGCAAAGCTCGTTTTAAACAATTTGTAAAAACCTATGATTGAATTGTATAGTCGAAACATCCTACCCTTTATTTAACAATTTTCCTTTCATGCATCCACTTTGGAAACTTAAAATGATAATTTTTAAAGACATTTATGCTCAAAATTATATATACGAAGGGTTATTTCATCATACTGCAGTTTGAAAAGGGTAATTTTTATTACAATAATGTGACCTTAATTTGTGCGAAAAACCTTGTGAGCTTAAAAAGTTTGTTGAGCTGTATTTTCAAACGAAGTAGCCGAAATCTCATTGTAAATGACTACCGGAAGTGATATTTGAATACTAAACTACGAAACAAATGAGGTCAGAATTTTTAGGGCCCCGCAAGGATTTGCGGGTGCCCTATAGTAATCACTCTGTCCGTCCGTCTGTCTGTCTGTCTGTCTGTCTGTCTGTCCGTCTGTCACTCTTCCGTCCACAAATTTTCTGTTTTTTTCTAATAACTTTTTTTATTGTTGCCCAATCAAGTTCAAATTTGGTATGGTAGTTCAGTAGGCAGAAATACATATTTTGATGCTAAGTTTGGTTCTCTATGTCTTCTGGTTTGGAGCTGGGGTGGTGGGGTAGATTCCTTAACTATGCATAAGAATGAATGGGCAACTTTGTTTATGGTTGCCCAATCAAATTCAAATTTGGTATGATAGTTCAGTTGGCAGAAATACATATTTTGATGCTAAGTTTGGTTCTCTATGTCTTCTGGTTTGGAGCTGGGGTGGTGGGGTAGATTCCTTAACTATGCATAAGAATGAATGGGCAAAGAGAGATAACTGCTGAATATGTTACCATTGTATACTTGGAAGGCTGTGTAATATTTGTCCTTTGGGATTAATTAACATTCCACATGAAGAAAATCCAAAGCATTATCTTTATCTCTCACATTGAGATTAATTACTGTACTGCCTGTGTCTGCAAATGAATTTTGTTTTGAAGTTAAGGTCAATTTTGAATGATGTGTAGTATTGTGTACATGCATTCTCTGAAATATGGATTTAAAATATAATGTTCATACTTTATTTTGGTTAAAATACTGTACACAATGATTTATGATAATTTTATTGAATTCTAAAATCAAGATATATATTAAGATATCCTTTTTTACTATTTCATTTTTTAATTATTTATTTTATTTTTTCTGCCTTAATGCTGTTAATTTTAACAGGTAATCAGATAATAGCCCCATTCTGTCATTTCTGAAAAAAAATTCTTATTGTAAATTTAGAAGAAAAGGATGAGAGAGCAGTACAATTAATCCCCTGGGATTAATTATCTTGCTTGCTGCAGAAAATTTAGAGGCTTGTCTCTATCTGTAATATGAAGATTAATGAACACCTCTGTCTGCAACTGATGTTTGTTGAGGTCAACCATGGGTGATATTTGCATTCACTGAATCCTTGCATTTTATAAAACACCTGTTTAAATCTTTCTTAAATACACATTTAATTTAGTTTTTTTTATATAAGACATGAGATTTCCCCTGTTTTATGCAAATACAAGGTTACAATTTAGAGTTTTTGGACATTTAGGAATTATCTTGAAATTTAAAAATATAATTATTACTTATAATTTTCATATTTTTTTTAAAGTAATCAAATAAAACTCTCATTCCATGAGCTGCACCCTTATATTTTTAGCCCTCAGTTATGTTTGCTCTCATTTAAGGATGGTATTTGATAAAGAATATATTTCATTCTAGTTCATATACTTACATTCTGTATTAAAATAAAAAAAAATATATGAATTACAATAAATTTATTAGATATCAGTTTTTAAGGTCTTCCGTCTTCACGGAAGACCTTATAGTGATTCTATTGTTTCTTATTATTATTATTATTCTTTTTTTTTTAGACAAAATTTTGTGCAGGCGATTTCTCGTAAACTATTCGGTGGATCTAATCAATGAAAATCTCAGGAATTATAGGTCATTATATGAATTTTATATAAAATTCCGTTTGTTGGAAAATTCGGTACCAGTGCCAAGTTATGGGCAATTTCCTGATTTTAAAATGCAATTTTGTCTTCGAGTGTTCTCGAAAACGGCTAAAGATATTAACTCGAGACTTGTTAGAGATGATAGACCATGAGTTATAGATGTGCAATTTTGACTTCGTTTGCGTCGTCAATACTTCCGGTCGCTACAGGAAGTGAATTCAAAATGTGCACTTTTTCAACTTTCTTTGTTTTTCAATATTTTTCTTTGATATAATTAATGGTAATTAAGACCCTACTGGAAAGGCCTAATATATAATTTATCTAAGAATTGATCAATCCACACACTAGATATTCGCATTTAAAAATTTGAAGCGTGTCCAAGATGGCGTCGGTCTCGGTAAACTCCGCCATTAAGCAAGTCGGGTTCTAGAAGGTCAGCTGAGCGTTTAG